AAGATAAAGCTGAGAATTTAGTTCTACAGCTTAAGGCTCTGAACCCTCCATCCTGCCTCTCTTGGGGCTAGTAGAGCCACAGAGCCTCCTAACTGTATGGTGCACTGAGAGGCAGGCCACAAGCTGCTCAAATCAGAGCTGCCAGGGTTACTTCCAAGTGCCATGCCTAATATCTGCAAACAGCTCAGTGAGCCAAAAAATTCAATTCCAATGAATTATGAATACTTACGAGTTTGGTGCAGAAATAGTCTCAAAAGGTAGTCGGCCTCCTTCCCTGAGCCCCTGCACACTGCCTGGGTCCTAGTGTCCCCAAACTCTCCCATCAGAGAAAGAATAGTAAAAATAAGAAAAGAGTGAAAAGAATTGCTCCAGATCAGAGGAGGGAGACTACAGAGAGAAACATTTTCTGCATGAAAGGAAATGAGGCAGAGAAGAGACTAAGCAATAAGACAGTAAGAAAGAGGAAAAAGGAGAGATTTGGATCAGAAATGTTCTCTATGTAAAATAGAATTATTATTATTATTGGTATCATTATTAATGGCATAGCACCCATAGGCTTCCAGCGAGATCAGGGCTCCCTTTTGTTATGTATCAGGCAAATAAATATTAAGAAATGGTCCTAGAGATCTTATAGTCTGAACCAGACCCTCATTTGGAAAGCACTTGGGGTGGGAAGCACATCAGATGCATTCTTATTAAATGCAGTGGCAAGCAACAGACTTTTTTGCAAGTCCCTGATAAAGCATGGATGTTGCACGCCAGGAAAGCAGTGCTGAGTCCTTGCACTGGGGATGGTGGTTCTCTGCCTCATGCAGTCCCATCAGCACGGGGCTTTACCTCCCTTCTTCCTGTGCCATGCAACAGTGACACGTATGGAGGCATTTTTCCTTAACCTTTACACCATTTCTTTTCACCTGGAGGCATGCTCTGGCCCAGCGCCCCAGTATTACTCTACCAGCAGTTACAATCCTCTGGCTATTTTTACAATAACTACATGCAAGAGGCCATGTCCATGGAGTCCAAGGTTTTGCCAGTCAGTCCTTCTTGCAAGCTACAGGTCGCAACAGAAATCATCACCTCATAGTGCTGTACAAATACTCTCCCTTCAGGATCTTATACACCCTAGTCTCCTCACACCCAGATTGCCACCCCATCTACTGCATCACATATGGGTAGGGCGTGATTTTCAAAAGCACCTGAGTGACTTGGGAGCACAAGTGCCATCGACTGACAAACATAGCAAAGAATCCTTTTTTCAGGGACTTGGGCTCCTCATTATGGAGGGAATTTGGGGGAAGGTCTCCTAATGCTCACCAAACCAATCAGGCTTTGCCAATTCCTTTCCTCTTCTAGTTTCAACCCACGTTTCCTTCTGGGTGGTTTCACTAGCCACTAAGCTCCTATTGCCACAATGGGGCTGATCTTCAGTGGATGTGGATTGTGACTGATGCATCCATAAAGGTGTGACAATTTACACTAGCTTCTCCTCTGGGTTTTTTCCTCAAGACTTTGTGCTGTATCATAGGGAGGGAAGAACATACCAACCTCCCTTTCAGCCAGGTGTAAGCAGGTGCCCTCATAGAGTAGGTGCTTACTGCTAAGCTGAAGTTGTGTGTACTTGTAGTACTGCCCCATCTCTCTCCTTTTCTGCCAGTCTCTTTCATTCTCCCTGTGCACGTCGAAACAAGATGATTACTGCCCTGCTCAGTTGACTAACTAACTGCACAACAGACGTCTTAGTGTCTACACATGCATCCCTATAGGCTGGAGTAGATTAATTTAGGCATCCTGCAGCCTAAAGTACTATCCTGCTGCACAGTAAAAAACTCTGCAGCAGCACATATGAAGGCACTGCCCAGCTGGTTGGGGTTTAGTGTGCTTCAGCGTGGGGGTTGCCTGCTGGGTAGCCCCACACTGAAGCACCTTCATGCCCCAGCCAGCCCCTCTGCAGCACACTGAGGCAGGGGGAGCAGCCCAGGGCCCAGGACCCCCTGCCAGCTGGGGCTGCTCCAACTCAGCTCCTTGGGCTGCACCTGAATAAATTGTGGAGCTTATTGCTCCGGAGTGAATTGCTCCCAGGCACATGTTCAAATGGTGCACCTGAGAGCTTTAGCGCCAAAGCAATAAGCTTCATGGTTTATTCAGGCACCATCACTGCACATGTAGATGTGCCCCCTGTGCTGCTCCATCCCCTGTCATATCCCCCTTCCCTCATGTGTGAGACACTAAAGCTGGAGTTAAACTCTTAAGTTTAGGATGCTCCAACGGGTTTGCTGTCAGGCAGCTTTCAGGTGAACATGAGTTGTGTTGTATGTCCCAAACCCGAGCTCGCTGTCAGGAACAGTTAGGCAGCAAATAAGGTCCAGATTTCTGTCCAAGCCATCTGCCCTAACAGGTTTGCATAACATCTTTAGCCTATTCATTATTAATGTAACCTTTTTCTTTTGAGCTTTTAAGGCAAGAACTGGGCTTCCCAGTACAGCCACCCAAATCTCTCACCCAAATGGCACTGAAGCAAGAGTACAGCGCAAGCCGAGACAGGCTCTGGAGAACATATAAATATATTATGAAGTGCACAGACACTCAATAATTCATCTCACACAGAGAGCAGCTTTTGCATCCAAAACTCCAAGGAGAACTTTTGAATCCCATTCCTCTCTCCCCCCGTCTCTGCCCTCAAGGAGAAACCAAATGGAAAAGTCCAGTTTCAGCAACACAGAGGACAAAGCTCTGAGCTCCCACATCCCTCAACCTGACCCGTGTCCCCCCTCAAGCTGTTCCAATGCAAGACCCTCACAGGCAACTGCCAAGGCAATGTGCTCCTGCCCTTCTCCTCCCCCTCCCCTCCACCCCCAACCCTTGCCCTCCATTTCTAATCAAAACAGGTCCAGGCCCCTCCGCAATGCTACACAATTGATGTCCCTGACAGCAACACCCAAGAGTCAGTGGGAAAATGTCCTCCCCCTCCACCCCTGCAGGTACACGTAACCTACCTATGGTCATAAGAAGCCAGGGAGGTGGGCAAGTGTGGGAGGAAAAGTAGAAGAGTAGGTAGGTAGGTCAATCCTGGATGATTTTTGCAACCTCCAAGGATTTTTGTCCCTTTTTCTTCTCCTTTATTGGCCCCGGGGGAGTGTCAAGGAGTCCACCTCACTGTGCTAGGTGCTGTATATGCACAGAACAAAGTGGACTCTTTCTCCTACAGCTTACCTTTCTACTCTCTAGGCCCATACTTTTACAGGCCCCGTGCCAGAATGTCTCTACGATGTTTTGGTGAATTCCTACTGTTCTTGATGGGGTAAACTCCAAAGAAACTGCATCGACTTGCTTACACCAACTGAGAATTAGGCCCTATTTCTTTAGTCCCCTCATGGATCTCTGCTATAAATTACAGAATCTGGAAAGTAAAAAAACAAGAAGGAAAAAAAAACCCCAAGCTTCCTGGGCCTGATACTAACCAGGAGTCCAGTCCTTCCTTTCCCAATCCCTGTCTCTTCTTCCTCAGCACTGGGAGATATGGTTTATCTGAGCAGTGTTTAATGTAAACTCTGTCAGCCTAGACTGCCATTAATCCTCTGGAGCTTGGCAGCCACAAGATTAAATAATAGGGAGAAAAATACACATCTGAAATTGAAAAATGCTTCAGAGCTTATTCCCAGCCAGGTTTCTTTCCTCTTCCAGCACTTTCGAAAGATAACGGCGGAGAAGGGAGACAAGCCTAGTGAGATGGGGAAGGGGAAGGGAAGAAGGCTCTTTTGGGGACGACTCCTTGCTCCCTCTCACCATGGGAAGGGAACCAGCACCGCATCCGCCTGCTGCTTTCCAGTGTGTGGAAAATTCCACCTCTCCCCCTTCCCTGTGCAGCAATCCAGACAGTGGTCCCACAAGGGAGGCTCTAAATATACTATAATCCCCAGCCAGCAGCTTCTATTGATCAACTGCGATCCCTGCCCCCATTAAAGCCATATTCAGAGAATGCAATCAGGCTCATCCAAACTCTGTCAGGCCCACATGCCTTCATTAACGTACCAAGAAGCAAACAGGCCATCCTATGGGCTGGTTTTGAAGCTCTGTCAGTTTGAACAGATCATGCTTTGTGTAGTCTGGACGCTGAATGCTACTTGCAGGGGTGCGAATTTGGAGTGCCTGTGCTAAAGTCAGTAGAATTATTCTAGATGGATGCTGATAGAGCTCTGAGCACTATTCAGCCTCCGATCCACAGATCATGGAGCAGTAGAGTTGGAAGGGACCCCAAAGGGTCATCTCATGAATCCCCCTGCTCTGCAAAGGATCAAGCATAGCATTCCCTTATGCTTATGGACAACCAGGGGCTTCATGTGTGTCACAGATGGCACAAATGCAAATCCACAGCAAAAAACCCTCAGCTTTTGAAACCCAGAGAAGATGTTAGCAGCTCAGATATGACTGATTTGCTTTTATTAAAATGTCCAGTGGATTTCTGGTCCCCATTCCTCACTCTGCCACTGACCAGCAGTGAGACCTTGAGAAAGCCACTTGCAACCACATTTTTCCAAAGCAGGGACTAATTTTGGGTGTTCCAGACTGCGGTAGTCCAAACTGGGCTTGTCCCAGGGGATCATGTTGGGTATATTCTAGCAGGATGCTTTCCAAGCCCCTAGGACTGACAGAACCAGATCCCAACTTTGTACCTCTTCTGATGAGCCACAACAATAAAGCTCAGGTGTCTCTATGCCCATCCTCTATTCAACAACTAGGGTAAATCACTCCAAAGCAAGTCTTGCTAGGCCTGAGCATAGACTAGGGATAACTATGGACCTTATGTTGGAGTAATGCTGCTCTTGGGCTCCTTCTTGTGACAGGTCCTCTCTTGTAGGCAGAAGAGAAGCAGAGCTGATCTAGGCTGATCTGCTAATCCACACAGATGCACTAATGGGTGGACCTTTCCCTGGTTGGGATGGGAGTTATGGACAATTTTCAGGGAGAAAGAAACTAGCCAGACTCATCCTCTGTTTTCTCAGGAACCCCCTGGTGAAAGTAGTGACAGCAGCAGCAAAGTGACAGAACCCTCTACAGCCAACTTGACATGCTGCCGTCCAACGGAGAGCAATGTGCATTGAAACATAACAGCATCCAAGAGAACGGCATCACTCTCGTTTCCAGGAATTATTCTGTATATGCATATTAGAAGCTGGGAGGGCTTGGGGGATTCTTATAACCAGACTAACAACCTTACAGGATATCTCATGTACACCAGCCCCCTTCCCATGCCTGCAGAGACTCAGTTTCAAATCACTTACACTGAGACTGGGAGAAGCGGGCTGTTTCATTTCCTGGTAGAAGCATTAAACAGAACAAGATCATCCGAGCTCCTGATATTTGTCATAGCTTCAGGGAATTTAAATTCTACTACTCCTGCAAGGTGCAATCCAGTAATAACACTGATTTCCTGTAACAAGATATTCCACTCCCACAGAGCGCAAGGGTCCAGGGCTCCACATACTTACACATGAAGGTAACTTCATCCCCCTACTTATTTGCACATGCAAAAAGTGAATCTCAAGCATCAGTGTTTTCAGGATCAGGACGAGGGTTGTATATGGACAGTCCATTCACAGTAACATCCATGTGAAACATTGGATCATAGACCTACGCCTCATTTGAATTATGTCAATTTGATACTGATGGGCCCAGACTGCGCTTAGTTTTCATTTTGTAATTGTCATTATGAAAAACAATATGAAAAATGACAAATATGATGAAGCTAAGAAGGATTTTATATTTTATCTTTGACAAACTTTAATGAGAAATATCAATGTTTATTTCTAATGTGTGGGGGTTTTTTTAAATGATTGCCTAAATTGCTTGCTTTGACAGGAAACAAAAGACCCCTCAGACACTAATTGTCATTTATACAAAAAAATGAATGCCTTAATCTTCTAAAATGGCCTTCAAAACAGACACTAAAATAAAATGATAATGTTCTGTAAAATTAATGTACTTTAAAAAGATGACTAGTATAGGTTTTTATGATTATACACAGTTATTGTTTTTAAGCAATATTTACTTTCTTTGTAAATGTCAATGAATATATATTTTCTCTCTTGCTGTTGTTTTTAGGAAAGGAAAAGACGGACTAATACATAGAAACCAGCTATATACTTCCAGGTCAATAGATTTTATTTTAGGTTAGAGGGAAACAACAAAACAAGAAATAAAAAATGTACAGTCCTAGTGGCAGAACAGAGTGGGCACTTTTCCTTTGCAACAAGTTGTGCTAAATCTGAGAACAAAATAGCTACTGTCACTAGAGGTTCTTAGATACTGGAAGATGCAAGGCACAGAAAATAAGTACCATATTTTCCCACATACCACACTGCCTACATGCCTTGTTTTTGAAAGGCAGAATGAAGCAAAAAGATGTTTGCTTGTAGTAAGTAACTGAGTCACAGCAGCTAGGGAGCAGGGTCTGCTCGTTGTTCTGATCCTTGAGTCAGGTGCAGATTTTACTTCCACTTTTGCCTGTAACTAGCAGAAATTGTTCTTACTGTATTTCTCACATAAAATGCACACTATAACATCCAGCAGCTGATTTGGGGGGCGGGGGGGCGGGGGGGAGTGTGTTGTATGTGAGAAAATATGGTAATATCATCCGATAGCTACTGATACCACACAACCTGCTGATCCAAATATAATCCTTCCAACTCTTATCTAAAACTCTCCAGGCAGGAACTGATCTGTCATTTGATTTGTCTGTCAAACACCATGCACAACTGTGGGGTTGCAAAAAAATAAATGATAAGTGTACCTATGATTCAACAGTGTCTTTTAAAAGCAGAAAAGATTTGTGGTTTATGAATATGTATTACGCTCTGTTCTGATTATCATTCTCCTCTAATTCCCTCTTTTTCACTCTCCTACAACTGCTAAGCCCTGCTGTAACTGTCCTCTGTGTATGATCAGTGCACGTTGCCGATGTGCTGCCTTGTGGTTTTATTTAATCTTTCTGCATTTGTCCCTTGGTATCAACTGTCACCCTCATGTGTCTACTGAAGCTCGACACAATGCAGAATTCAGTGTTGCCAAAGCCAAGCATCTAAAAATGAGAAGTTGGACCCTCAAAAAAAAAAGCATGAGATTAGCTTCAAAATCTTGACATTTGTTTAAAAAGTCATAAATGCCAGGTCCTTTTTATTTTCAGTCTGGCATTTCTGGGCCTTGGGAGTCACATTTTTAAGTTCTTCTTCAAAGCCCCCAGAGCTCGAGTCTTTTATTAAAATAAAAGCAGAGATTCTTTTGCCACAATGTGATGCCAGGAGCTGCGGCTTTCAAATGAACACCCAGCGTCACAAGATGCATAATAGCATCACAGAAGTCAGCAACACTGAGACTCGTATATTAAAAGAACAGGAGCCACCAGCAGTCAGAGGGACTGTGGGAAGGAGGAGACAAGCAGGGCTGAGCTAAGGCCAGGAGGGTGAGCAGGACACACTGACAGTGCTCGGTGTAACACAGAGTCGGTAGGCAAAGCCAAGCTGCACTCGCCCATCCAGGGAGCCCCTTGGAGCTCAAGGATCCATTGAGAGGTGGGAGCAACGCCTTTGAGGTCTTGCTGGGAGGAAGAGCTGGGGTCTTGCAAAGGGGTGTTCTACTTTAAGGAGCTATGTTTTAGAAGCCCAAAGCCTTATTTATTGTTACCCCCTTGCTGATTAGCACATCCTGCCATAATTGGTCCAGATTAGAGACTACAAAGCTGCCCTGTAGGAATCCTGTCCCCTGCCACTTGAGCCCAGACCTCCTGTGAGGCTTTCCGTTAGCTCCTAACAGTACAGGTACCTAACACAGAGCTCTGAGTCCATCTAGCAAAGGGCAGAGGACACACAGACATGCCAGCCAGCTCATCAGGGAGCCAGGATGTCTTCCATGATGTGCTAGCCTCTCTCAGAGAAAATGAGAAAATGACTGGCACATCCTCTTTACGCAGATGAACACTGAAGCCCGTAGTGATAAACAGCACCCGTTATTCAGCCAGACTAGGTTAGCCTAGGTAATAGCAACCATTGCAGAAACCTGGGTTACTCTATGCAGTGTTTCTATTCATCTTGTTACCTCATCACAAATGCCTTTTCTGAGGTGCCAGGCTAAGGGGAAACCACTTTAATGCTTCCCTGTCAACACTGTGTTGCTGCAAAGTGCCAAAAAGGTAATTAATCCTAGGCTGACCTCTTTCAGTGCTGCCGCTGCCCCCTCTCCTCTCACTGGAGAATTGGCTGTCAGGAGAGCACAGCACTGAGGACGGGGAAAAAAAGCAAGCCAGCAACATAAGGAGGCACATGAATGAAAGCCCTGCTTCCCGCAGCCAGCTGTCCAAATGCAAGTGCCTTCCATCAGGAGTGCCCAGCTCACGGGCACCGACTTCTGAAGAGAAGGAGGGAAAAAGAGAAACCAACCCAGAGCAGAAGGTAGCTAGAGATGAATTCAGACCCCTCTGAGCTCTGCAGTGCTCATCACACCGCTCCCTTGACAAGGTTGAACGGTCACAAGCTCTTCCATGACTGTTTCAGGCTGGACATAAGGAAGAACTTCTTTACTGTCTGAGCCCCCAAGGCTTGGAAAAGCCTGCTGCCGGAGGTGGTTCAAGCACCTACTTTGAATGAGGGATGTTTGACATAGCCTGATACTGAGTGTAGAGAAGGGTGAGTTGGGATTACAAACAGTTTAGCTGGTGGCCCTCAGACCTAGAGTAATCCTAACCAGCTGACACATTTTAAAACATTTTTGTCCATGTCCAGAATACGGAGAAAATCACATTTACCATCACATTTGATACACTGTGCAAGCCGACACGTTTTCCAACATGGTGCATCTTCCTGGCACAAACGTGGCTATTGGAACCTTTACTCCAAATCTAATATTGATTTATCCTCAGGCTGAATCTAAAGTTGACCCAAAGCCAAGCAAGGAATTTGTCCTGGAGGCATGACACAGCCCTCTCTCAGCAATCCCACTCTCTTCCAAGTCAGCCTCAGTTGTGTCTCTTCAAAGCCCATTGAGTACATTACTGCACTAAGCCAGTACAGACCTGGGCCCAGCACGGTGGTGGAAGCTTCACCTGTGTATTAGAGGGTTACATTTGCTCATTGGTCTAAATTCAGAACATGACCCAGATCCTGCGCTCGGTTATGAGTCCACTGACTCTGAGGGACCTCCTCCTTGTAGGCAACGACAAACTCTATGGCGTTTACTTGGTCCCCAGCACAGGAGCCACAGGGCACATCTACATGAGACATTTACTGCAGAGTTGCCTGTTTAGTTCCACAGTAAAGCTTCAGTGTCTACACATGCGGCCCTATTAGGCCACAGTAAACTAAAAAATGCTGCCATAGGTTAGTACTTATAAACACAAGTACTACCCTGTGGTGGTGTTATTTAGCAAGCAGCAATGCATGTGTAGCTGTTGACAGAGCTGGCTAGGACATGAGGGTGCTTCAGTGCAGGACTGCCTGCCAGCTAGCCCTGCACTGGAGCACCCTTGTGTCCTAGCCAGCCCCTCCGCAGCATGCTGAGCCAGGGGGGAGCAGCCCCAGGCTCGCAGGCTGCCCCCACCCCCAGGCCCCGCCCCAGCTCAGCGTGCTGTGGTCCTGTGTGCACGTGTAAATGCAGTGACCAGGAGCAATAAACTCCGGTGTGAACTGTGCTGGAGTTCATTCAATCGCATTAATAGCACATGTAGACACACCCACAAAGAATTTCCCAGCCTTTAATGTGTTTGTCCACACAGCACCTCCATGAGGCAAGGCAATATTATTATTCCCATTGTACAGAGGGGGAAACTGAGGCACAGAGTGGTTAAGTGAATTACCTAATGAGGTAATTACTTAATGAGAGCCTGGATTTAACTCAACATGTCCCAAGTGCCAGCCTAGCACTGTAAACATTGAACCACCCTGCCTGCCTGGCTCAGCTACATGTATTCCACTTCTTTCAAGCCTTAGTCAGATGGTTCAACGTGAACCTCAGTAGTAACCATCTACTCCATGGAAAGGGAAGAGCTCAGCTCCATTGTG